AACTAGTCCTTTTTTTGTTTGGTAGCGTGATAACGAGAGGCTTCCACCGCAAGTAATTCATCGAACCCATTCATGGTATCAATACCTTTGCTTTTGTTTCTTTGAGTCTCTGTTCCTTGGAGAGGTACTGATGATGAAGTTGGATTCTGTTGATGGCTTTTGTAAGACTCGTAAACCGTTGAGAGAATCTCTGGGGTGATCTTGTTTCCATTCACTAAAAGAAAATCAGATATAGAATTCTGAGTTCTTGGCGGTTGTTCGAGTAGAAGTCGTGATGGAGATGCTTCAATTGCCGGAATCGTTCCATGGGGATGTAGAAGTTCCATATCCATTTGAGGAGGTTCTTCAGGATGCATATCATCTTCCGGAGGATGCACCTCGTATTCTTGCTCTGGTTCCTCACACTCAGACACGTCGTGACACAAAGAACGACATCGGAAACAATAGTTCCTTAGTCGCACATATCGGAATGTGATTGGTATGCCACCGTGTGGTCCAATACGGAACCGGCGGTTGAAAACCAGAGGGAGAGATATAGGCCAATTGATTCGGACTCTAGCATACTGACGATTCGCTGCAGCATCTCTGTTTCAACAATATCCCCAGAGTACTCGCTTGTTCGGAATGATTCGTCCTGCAACAGTATCGTATCATTGGCCTCAGGTTTTGTCTGCGTGGATTCACCGGACGAACAAGGAGACTGAATCGAGTTGCTTCGAAGTAGATGTTCGCTGGGATCTCAAACTCTTCGCCATTGGATTCCATATCCAAATTCTGCATCAATCGATTGAAATCAGTGTTCTGTATTCGATTCAAGGGAGGGAGGGAAGGCGGTTTTGAAGTGACAAGGTGTGATTTATAGAAGGGAGAGATAGCGGTTTGTGACGGTTTTTTGAGATTTGGGGGAAGATGAAACCGTTTAATCGACAAAAAGGCCCATTTGTAGGGAATGAAAGCCCTACCAGCGAGAGATTAATCGGTGAAGAAACCGATTAAGAAGAGAAGAAGTTGAAATTTGAAACCCAGAAAAATCGCTCTGGAATCGCCGTCGCAGAAAAGAGAAGAAGAATTTTAACTCGTAAGTTCTAGGGTTTCTTTCTTTCAACTTTTTCTGTGCATTTTTTCTAGACTTTTTTTTTTTGAAACAGATATATGGGCATATGATGAGATTTATATATCAAAAGAAGTGAATTTAACGATGTTTTTCATAGATAAACTTTACTTGCTAAGAGATCACTAAATCTGTTATTTTCATTCTTCGTATTTGATATGCGTGGGTGATTAAATTTTCTTTTCTTACCCACCATATGACAAAACCATTGATTCCGAAAAAGATTCTGAATTTTCGACAGTACGACACCAAACACATTTTGTACCATAGTCATGATAAAAAAAAATTGAGTTTGATTTACTCCCAATTTTTTTAGCAAACTGAGACCACAATGTTTGAAACTCTGGTCACGCTTCCTCTAACTGATAATTCCTTGGTAATGCTTCTATGTAAATCCACACGATCTTCCATTGGTGTATGTACTCGGCATCTCCTGTTATTATTGACATTAGAATTGGCCATGGCCATTTGAAATATTGCATCAACATCTCGCAATACAATGTTTGTTGATAATGTTGAAATATCCTCTTCTCCTTTAACAGTTGGTAGTCAGACTCAACTCCATGAAAACCATTGTTTTCATTGCCGAAATTTTGGAATTCCATGTTTGGAAACGACCAGTAAAATAACACAAAAAGCGGCTGAAACACCATGAATGATGACATCGCCGGAAGGACACTCTATTCGAGAGGAAGGACACAATTACCCATGCGAACCGAGAAAGATCAAGACAAACCAACATAAAAACCATTACCAAACTCAAAATCTGTTTTTTTGTCATAAAGAACATCCAAAGGCCAAAGGAGTCACAAACATATTTGTATTGAAGCACATCTCAAACCATGCTCTAAATCCATACTCTTCTAATGAAATTACCACATCTACCATTGGAGTTTCAAACACATACAGCAGAAATATTCGACAAGAAAGCACACCTATTAGCATCATCACGAACCCAACTTCTTTGCCACACAAGGAGAGAAACGTAAACCAATTTTGTGAAAGTGCCACAGTTTAGGCGAGGAACAAACTACACACAATAAATTTTCGGAGACAAGATTTCACTAATAAATCTCTAGAAAATTAAAGAGATATGATAAACATGTGGTGAATAGATACTAAACAACGAAAGAGAAAATTTCGGCGGTCGAAGCCGCCGACTGGAGAAGTTTTCAAGCGAATTGGGTTTTTTTGTAGGGAGGCGCGGCGATTAGGGAATATAATAGAATGATACCAGTAGTTTTCGATTTCCTTAGTTTCATTTTTTGAAGAGTTTATATATACCATAAAAAAATTTTGGGAAACTTTTTATTTTCCGCCATATTTTACTTTACTATTTTGAATAAGAAATTACATATTTATGCTACATAC